CAAATGAGCTATCACTCACTACCCCATGCCATTAAAATTTTTAGAAAGGGTTGTTCCCCTCGAGTAAGGGATGAAATTAAGGGTAAACTAATCATACAAAAATGTACACTGTAGAAAACAAAAATCGACCTGTCTCGGCGATTTTCCTAACAAGACTCCAGTAACGAGTTAGTTAGGGGGGGTAAGACTTAAGATTCTCACTGTATAGTAAAGTGTGTGTGTAGTGTTTTAGTTTCAAATGCAATATCTATTTTATTTTAACATGTTTAAATCTCTTGTTTGGGTTATGTATTTTAAAACAGTTCATTAGTCAAATGCCAATTCTATCATTTTCGTCCCAAGTTTGCTTATTAAATGTTTATCAGTTTTAAGGGTTTTTTCATATAAAGAGTTTTTATTATATTAAAAAGTTTTTGTGATGTAAAAGGTTTCATTATATTAAAGTTTTATCATAGATTATATTATATTAACATGGTTTATCATAATAAAGATTTACAATTGTGGGTAGTAATTTTTGCTTCTTATTTCAAAAATACAGATTGTTTTGATTTATTGAAATTGTTAATCATTTTTTACTTATATTTAAATATACATGTTATTGTTTATTAACCTATTTTATTCTCACCTCTTTCCAAAAAAAACAGTAAGAAATATTCCGAGCATGTTAAGCCTAGGCGTTTCTATTCCCTTAGGACTAAAAGAGTGTAAAACTAGTTGCCAAGAACCGCTCGACATATGCTATTAAGGGATGTTTTTCGTATTTTATTATTTTCTTTTGCCACTGGCGAATGGATGTTCCTTCAGGGCTCCAGGACCCTAGGGCTGGTGACAGGTGCTGCCTTTATCCCTTAATAGTACAATGACAACAGTAGCTAAAGACCTATATCAGTAGTTGCAAATGGTCTTTAAGCTTCCTGGTTGTTACAGCTTTATTAAAAGTCACTTTAGAAAAACTTTTTCCCAAATGCATTTGAAAAAATGAGCGTAAAACTCGCTACTCAGTTATTTAACCATTCTGTAGCTACAACCATTAACTATACACCATATCTCGAAAACAGCTGATTGCAGAACAATTTAGAGTTTACCTATGTAAAGTTTTTTTTTATTATTAAAAATTGTTAATTTTATTAAAACAGTATACAATAAAACTCTTCTACTAAACAGAATTCTTTGGTAATGCCAAAACAGGTAAATTAACATTCTAGAATCTCTAGATGATTTAGATATTATGTATATAATTCATATATAGAATAATCCGCAGAACGCGAGTGCCACAAAAAAAATTCTTAGAACCTAGGTCATTTTTCATTTTCATTTTTTAAATTTTATAATCTTATATAGTGGGCCGTAGAAAAAATATACTTTGCAACTCGAATAGATTGGCAATGTGCTCAAACTTTGTCTTTGTGTGATACAGCCATCACATCCATTCTTGTTACACAAATTACTATTGAAAAATCAGTTTTCCAATATGATGACATGTCCATTCTCGATTAAAATAATAAATAAACGTGTTTTAAACTTACCATGGGCCAAAATTTGGGAAACTTAAGTACCTAACGCTTCTACACGGTTGTAAAGTAGGATCAACAGACACGCATGATGACGGCACTAAAGATGTAACAAGTTGTGTCGAAGTTACATAACTCGTATATGTACCATCAACAAATCTAGCACTCCTATAGTTTTGAGTATATTTGGAATTTACACCAAATATTAGTGTGAAAAAAAGTAAAAGGACCGTTTTCGAAGACATTTCTCTCTAATACTGACCGTTTATTATCTTGTTACAGGTATTTATGAAAAGAACGTTTTTATCTAACTACCTACCTGAAAAATTGTAAAGTGATTTACCTACTGGGAATATAATCTTGTTTTTCTGTGAAACGGAAACTATTTGTCTGGGTTATTTCTATTTGGGATAATCTAAAACTTTAAGAAATTTACTTATTGTTTGGAAAGTCATTAAAATGAAAGTAATTTTACCGAAAAAAAGAAAAAAAAAAATATAATACGATCTACGATGCTGAACGAAAACAAAAAAAATCGTAAGTTTGCCACTTGAATTATTTTTCAATAAAGAGAGGGTAAGTTTTTTAAAAAATGCCAGCCCTGAATATCTTAGAACACAGAACTGTTATAAAAAAATCCTTAAATGTCAATTTTAATTGAGATTCTATCATATTCTTAATACTTGTCATACATTCTCTAACCCGATGATACCCAAAGTGGATATACATCGACTACAGGGCACAAGAATAAATAACCAGAAGGATATCTCTCATTTAATTCCTTTGTAGTTGATGCCGACGAGCTATGACCTCGTCTTTTAGTTATTACTTGTATTCTATAGGGTAGCTATTGATTTATTTTTTAAGTTCATACATTACAAATATAGGTAAGTAAAAGATTAGCAGGGGGTCGGGGCGGTTGAGACTGGGAACTTTTTACTGACCGTGGGAGCCACATTTTCCTTTGATGATGCCGACAACACCTGTCATGGCAAACATAAACGTCGAAACGTCAAACGAAAACGTCGAAACGTCAAACGAAAACGTCGAAACGTCAAACGAATACGTCGAAATGTCAAACGAAAACATCCAAACGTCAAACGAAAACGTCGAAACGTCAAACGAAAACGTCGAAACGTCAAACTAAAACGTCGAAATGTCAAATGAAAACGTCGAAACGTCAAATGAAAACGTCGAAACGTCAAACGAAAACGTCGAAACGTCAAACAAAAATTTTTCCTTATTCCCGCACCTAGCGAGGAGTGTCGGAAAAAACATGTTTTTTAATTTAGAATGCATAATTTAGTTAAAGTAAGTTCTACTATTACTAAGTTCTATTAATAAGTAAAAAGTTGTAATATAGTTTTTCTTAAAAAATAATTTCAAAATAAAAATTATACAATTTTATTAATGTTTAAACATTTTGTTTCTATTACGATAATAATTATTTTCCTTGACGTCTAAATGCACAACAGCATTTATTGCAAATACAACAATGGTCCGCTGGTTCAACCCATTCTACTTGTCTAATCCTCCTCATATTTATTAAAAATTCGCGGTAAATCGCATTATTGGCAGGTTTCGAAATGCTTTTTTTATTGATATAATCATCACAACAGAAACATTTTATTGGAGCCATTATAATAGTAGGAAGGTGAAAAGGATATAATAATAATAATAATACTCTCCCTAATTCACCCCCTTACGAGTGAATTTTAACCTCAAAAGCTGAGCTTGTGCGGAGAAAGGGACGACTATTATTATTATTTGCCGTGGCGCTCCGGGGCGACTTAAAGATGATTGATGGTGCCATTTGACTTACAAGTGAGGAAAACCCGAAAAACCTCACCCACCATCATCGAGACGGTAATGCATGGCGATTTTATAATCTGCATGTCATATCAACAGAAATTGAATTTCTATTAATACGGCATACATAAAATCCTATACCGAACCATGCAATTTAATTAAAAATCCACATAGTCTGGTCTGGGATTCAAAGCCCGGCAGTCTCGGACCATAAACTTGCCTATAAACGAATATAAGCGCGTTAGACTGCTACACCACCGACCCGGTAATAGAAAAACAGGTTTTTCTATTCTAGATTAATATTTTGACACAAGCCTACTTTATTTTTTAATTTTAAGAGTATCACCGTTGTATTTTGCAAGGCTTTTTAAATCCTAATTTTCTTTGAAAACGGTACAAGCTATCAGTCTGAAATTAATACAGGCATGAATAAAAATGCATAAATTACACGTTTATAAATATTTCAGACTAATAGCTTATACGGTTTAAAAAAAAATTGGGATTGAAAAATACATAGTGGCGTTAGACTTAGGATAGTAGACAATTATAAATAAATAAATAATTTTCTAGTTTTTATACATTTATTATTAATTTTGTTTCTGGCATTTTAATACTTTATTTATCTTTAAAATTGCAAACTTTGTCGTAAAATGTGTTGCCTATGTTTTACACAAATTAAGGACCAGCCAGAAAACATTTTAAAACATAAAAGTCTTAGATCTTTCACAGTATAAGGCTTATAGTAGCTATATATACTGTAGTTCTGTGTTAAGATATGCGTTGTTGCCATACTTAAAACTTGGTTTAACAACTTAGATTTTAAGTTAAAAATTGTTAAATATTCGTTACTTTTAAGACTGATGTAATAGTTTTAAAAATATTAGTGATTTATTTTACGTATGTTATTTTTTCATTTCAAAGAGATTTCTTGCATTAAATATGTTTTATTTATTAATAATTTTAACCGTCCGTATACACCCTAAATATAACGTAATTTAGAATTTTACGCAATGGAAATTCATTTTAAGCTTATACTTTTACTATAAAAACAAATTTTCATTTTCCTTCCTTAGATTTTCTAGTTTTTTGAAATATAAAAAAATCATGAGACACCCAAAACATCCATTTAATTTAAAACGATACTCTGAAGTTGAATTAATACAGACATGATTTTTAGATGAATTAGTTGGTTGCTATTGAGAAGGCACAATGCTATTTCTAAATTTTGTTAGTGCCCTCTTATAGAAGTGACATTCTTTATCCCAAGCGACATGATCAACATAAATATTTATGTTATGGTTTGATTTGAGATTAGCACAATTTACATATTTCAAACTAGCAGAGTTACAATCTTTTACATCGTGATTGGAGGCACATTTGGGACATGTAGTGTCTTTTTTACTGCATTAATTTGATAAATGGCGAAGACCCTAACAATTAAAACATCTACGTGGTTCCACAGAACAATCAAAATCAAACCTAATTTCATAGCTTTGTGGTAAGTATTTGAATCCACCTGGACGACAGCTTGGAACAGTTTGTTATTCTTTAAGTGCGGTTTAACGTAAATTATTCTTCGTGCGATATGGTCATCATATCCACTCTCGTTGCACAAACTACTATTCTGTAATCAACAACACCCAGATGTTTTTTGAGGGTTTTCCAAAATAAAAAATCATAAAAAGTTAGACATTAATATATTTTCATTTAACAAAGATTACAGTTATACCAATAAAATCATTTAATTTAAAATAAAATTGTACATTATTCCAAAAATCGCCGGCTTTTTGCCTAAGTACCTACATACATTCAGTCTAAAATTTTAATTTTGATAATAAACAACACATTAAAAATTATATTCCAAATTGAACAATATATTTAGATGCTTTACACGTAAACGTACTCTTATGGTCATCATATGCATAACTGTAAGCATCGGGACACCTATCTTTAAAGAATTTAGGATAATTGACGTGCCAGTCACTGCTTTTGCATGTTTCTGGTCGATTATGTGCGTTTCTGCAGCAGTATTGATCAGTATTGAATTTATTACAGGCTGAATGACAAGCTATAGTACCATGTTGTGTGTTCTGTCTTAAATCATTGGGACACTCATCGTTCAAATGCCTCAAGCAAGCAGAACGTTTGCAACTGTACCTTCCTCCATCACCGTGTCCATTGACTGGTTCAATCTGAAAACAAAAATACAAACGTTATTCGTTTTTTAAAAAGTGTTCACAAGAAAAAACTTTAATTAATAAACAAATCAAAACTGTAGTTACTTTCAAGGGAAATCATGTACAGTTAACCTAAGTTAAATACCGCAATAATAGATAGATTTAATGTGTGCTGTCATATGTCATTGCACTAAAGTTTGCAGAAATGTTTGGAGGTTACTAGACAAGGTTTTTTGTCAGTTGTAAGCATTTATTAGGTCATCGACACCAGGATTCTGCGCAATACATAATTTGGCGGTTAAAATAATCAACTGCGCAGAATCCTGGCGTCAGTGACTGGTTTCTAATCGTTGTTGGAACAGACCTATTACAATTACATGTATGGCGCCTTTGTCAGGATTTTTCACACATTCTTGGCATTCAGTTACTGTCAATTATTGCTGTACTCAACTCGAACTCATTGATGCACGAATTAAATATAAATGTATTGAACAATGTCATTATTTTACTGTCATAAAGAAGAGACATTGACTTTCTAAGTTTGTAGGTATGCAGGTATTTATCTAGTAGGTATTATTCTGTTATATAATTTGTCAAAAACTGGTAAGTATTATAAGATTCTAATTAATTGCTAATATCCTTTAAAATTCGAAATGGAACTAAGCTTGTTTGGAATTTACTCAAATAGATAGAAAAAAAAAATACTTACGAAAAGGGCTAAATTAAATCCATCTACAAATGAAATATCGTAGTAATCTAAACCTCCCCATCCTCTCAAAGTTATTTCAGCAAGAGATACAGGTGGAACTCCTCCAGCACCACGGCATTCTAATTTGTTACCACAGTCTCCAGTTAAGCAATGTTTTGAGTTCCAATCGCACCAAGTTCTAGCCCAGAATCGACCTGCCCAATCATCTGGTGCTCCAATAGTTCTCTAAAAAAATAAAATTTGACGTTTAATTTTAAGTCTTTCATCTTTTAGAAAACGTTTATAAAAAAAAATTTCAAGTAATCTAGTTGAAAATTTTTTGTGATTTTTTAATATTAATTTCTCAATAAATTCCACGGTAACCTATATATTTTACTAGCTATTGCCCGCGGCTTTGCTCGCATATTGTCGTGTTTTTAATATAAAAAAATACATCACTTCCTTTTTTATTAATTTTTATTAGTTTTATTGATTTTCATTCATTTTTTAAATTTTTTTATATTTATTCATGTTTATCCATTTTTATTAATTTTTATTAATAATTTTTATTAATTTTTATTAATTAATTTTTATTAATTTTTATTAATTTTTATTAATTTTTATTAATTTTTATTAATAATTTTTATTAATAATTTTTATTAATTTTTATTAATTTTTATTAATTTTTATTAATTTTTATTAATTTTTATTAATTTTTATTAATTTTTATTAATTTTTATTAATTTTTATTAATTTTTATTAATTTTTATTAATTTTTATTAATTTTTATTAATTTTTATTAATTTTTATTAATTTTTATTAATAATTTTTATTAATAATTTTTATTAATAATTTTTATTAATTTTTATTAATTTTTATTAATTTTTATTAATTTTTATTAATTTTTATTAATTTTTATTAATTTTTATTAATTTTTATTAATTTTTATTAATTTTTATTAATTTTTATTAATTTTTATTAATTTTTATTAATTTTTATTAATTTTTATTAATTTTTATTAATTTTTATTAATTTTTATTAATTTTTATTAATTTTTATTAATTTTTATTAATTTTTATTAATTTTTATTAATTTTTATTAATTTTTATTAATTTTTATTAATTTTTATTAATTTTTATTAATTTTTATTAATTTTTATTAATTTTTATTAATTTTTATTAATTTTTATTAATTTTTATTAATTTTTATTAATTTTTATTAATTTTTATTAATTTTTATTAATTTTTATTAATTTTTATTAATTTTTATTAATTTTTATTAATTTTTATTAATTTTTATTAATTTTTATTAATTTTTATTAATTTTTATTAATTTTTATTAATTTTTATTAATTTTTATTAATTTTTATTAATTTTTATTAATTTTTATTAATTTTTATTAATTTTTATTAATTTTTATTAATTTTTATTAATTTTTATTAATTTTTATTAATTTTTATTAATTTTTATTAATTTTTATTAATTTTTATTAATTTTTATTAATTTTTATTAATTTTTTTTTATTAATTTTTATTAATTTTTAATAATTTTTATTAATTTTTATTATTTTTATTAATTTTTATTAATTTTTATTAATTTTTATTAATTTTTATTAATTTTTATTAATTTTTATTAATTTTTATTAATTTTTATTAATTTTTATTAATTTTTATTAATTTTTATTAATTTTTATTAATTTTTTTTTATTAATTTTTATTAATTTTTAATAATTTTTATTAATTTTTATTATTTTTATTAATTTTTATTAATTTTTATTAATTTTTATTAATTTTTATTAATTTTTATTAATTTTTATTAATTTTTATTAATTTTTATTAATTTTTATTAATTTTTATTAATTTTTATTAATTTTTATTAATTTTTATTAATTTTTATTAATTTTTATTAATTTTTATTAATTTTTATTAATTTTTATTAATTTTTATTTATTTTTAATAATTTCTATTAATTTTTATTAATATTTTCCCCCGTTTCCCCCCCTTAAAATGTGAAAATCCAAAAACCATGAAACACTTCATTATTTATTTATGATGAGAACCTACAATTCCAATTTTCAAGTTCCCACCTTTAAAAAAATCGTTATTTCCAAATAAACTTTTATCCCCTAGTTTCCCCCTTAAAATATGAAAATCCAAAAATCCTAAACTACCTTATTAGTAATTTGTACTCATTAGCTGCAATTCCAATTTTCATGTTTCAAAGAGAACAAAAAGAGTTATACTCCCATACAAACTTTTGCCCCCGTTTGCCCCCCTTAAGATGTAAAAATATAAAAACCCTAAAACACATTATTATTAATTTGTACTCAGTAGCTGCAATTCCAATTTTCATGTTTTTAACTTTAAAGAGAACCAAAAACATGGGAGTATCCATCCCAAATAAATTTTCACCCCCCATTTCCCCCCTTAAAATATGAAAATTCAAAAACCCTAAAACACGTCATTATTTATTTATGCTCAGTATCTGTAATTAAAATAGAGACCTCTATACAAAACGGTGATATAATTATTCCTTATCAATAACTTAATAAATGTGCAATACCGGAATGTGTTACTACAGCAAAAGATGGTTACGCATTAACCACAGCTATAAACAGCGATATCAATACAAAAACACTTGATTTATCAAAACCTATTTTGGTAGAAAAATTTGAAGAAAAAGAAATTTCTAATTTAGAAATAAACAATATCAATTCATGTAATAATAAAATTGCAAATTTAAAAAAGATTAAAACAAACCTTAATACTTGGATTCTTGGATCAAAAAATAAACAAAGTTCAAATATATTTAAACAACAAAAAGTTTCCTAAAATAATATCATGTATAAAAAAGAATTTGAACAAAATAAAATTAAAAATAGAATGAAAAAGCCAAGAATTTATAAATGAAACAAAAAGAGAATAAAATTTAAAAAATATTCAAAAAATATTCACACTTCAATAGAAAAAGAACAAGATTCAAAAACTCTTCTTACACTACAGGAATAAAACTAGATTAAAAAAAGTAGTCCTATTTCTATTTCTATTTTTTTTTCTTCAAAATTTAGACATACCAGAAGGAAATGAAAATTTTTAAATTCAAAATAAAAACTCCAATTCTAATGACAATTCCATTAGTAAACTATGCAGTAAATTATGGCAAAAATGTAACCAAAAAAAGAGCTCTCTTCAGCTCTCTCAAAACATTAAGTAGTTTTAAGTAATAAATTTAAGATAGTACATATTGATACTTTTATTTTTTTACAAAAAAAAAAAAAAATTAAAAATAAAAACTATTGACAGTAACTGAAAATTTTTCTAAATATGAAGCATATTATTTTGATTTCATAAAATAAAAATACGCTTTCGATCACATCCTGAATCTAATGGAATATGGAATAATAGAAAGATTCAATAAAAAAAATTATAAATAAATAATTCTAGTATATAAAAAACTATTTATTCTGCAAAAAATTAAAATCCATTGACATTAGTAAACCGTAAACCATTTAATATAGACTTGGATAGATTATTTTTAAATGATTATGTAAATGAACATAAAAGACAAACAAACATATTACACACTAAAATAAATGAACTCTTAAGAGAAAATAAAAAAGATTATGTCGAAAAAATTAATACAGATCGTGAAGACCCCAAAATATTTGAACCTTATCCCACTGCGTATATTAAAAATACAGAAAGACAGAAAAGTGCTAATAAATTTCAGAAACCAATTGCTATTAAATCAGTAAATAAAAAACGAAGAACATGGTAAAATGCACATAATATTAAACGCCCACTGAAAAGACTTTATTTTTTCGATAACTAAATTTTATCTTTTCAGGTTACCTGGTATAATAGGACTACTATAACATTAAAAAATTTAAGTGAAAATCCCGGACTTTTACCCTTAAAACTTGGCAAGGCAAAAGTAATTAAATATTATCATATTATTATGATTTAAATCATTTACTTAACGAAATCGAAGGAACACAAACTAAATCTAAAAATATAACTAAGTCAGTTCAACAAAATAAAGACTATAGGACAGACCATTCAAATTATTTCAAATTACTACACTTTTTAGAAGATAAAATAGAAATTAGATTCAATGAAATTATACCGCATCCCCAAAGAATAAAAAGAAGATTAATCAGGTTCTATATTGATTGAACAGCTTCAACCAAATCAAAATAAACTAAAAGACTCGATTAAAACTCAAAATTCATTAGCAATATCGCTAATAGATAAATTCAATAAAACAGTAAAAACAATAAAACATAATCAAGATTTATAAGATACAATAACCATATTGGTACAAGACCAATTTAAATGGGAAAATAGTATTTATATAAAAGATTCAATTATCCAAATTATTAATAGTTGTAACATTTTAAAAGTCTAATTATAAAATGTTATTTTAAATATATGCCATCTGGTATAATTTAATTATCGCCAACACACAATATTCTAAAGAAAGGGAAATTTCTTGAAGTGGGAGTACCACTAACCAAACGATCTCAAATTAGATTTGTAAATTTCATTTTATTATTACCCTTCGATTGTATCGGTGGTACATTGGCTGTTAAAGTGGTAAGCATAAAAAGTATATAATGTCTTTATTAAATATCTCAGTAGAAATATTATTCAAACTTTTTGTTAATTATTAGTTTTTTAATAGTAAAGTTAAATATATTTTTATGATTCATTCTGGTTGCTAGAACGGCACAATATGTATAGTCACTAGTTTGTATTATCTGATTGGTTCATTTAAAAAAAAAAAAGTAGATGTTTCAAATTTATATATCGTACAGAACCACGTGAAAAACAAAATTTATTTTTGTCTAGTAAACGAATGGAATCAGCCATAAGCCATGACGTCATAAGCCATAACGTCATAAGCTATAAATCCATAAGCCACATAAGCTACAAAGCCATAACGTCATAAAGCCATAAAACCATAATTCAACCGCTGTAATCTGAACGTTGGTTCCCGAAGAGCAGAAGTCTCTTGTGAAAAGTTAGTTGATTGGAAAAGCGACAGCTACAATTCGAAGCTTCATAAGAAGAAAGATTAACCGACAAAGGCGTTGGTTTCCGAGGGACAGAAATCTCAACTACCTATGGCTATCTAGAAGTGATTAGCTAACAAAGTAAAATGTGGTAATTACTAGTGACTAGAATTATTTATGTACGAATCATAATTTGATACCTGATAACTGTGAATAATTTTATTTTCGAAAACGTTTCTTTTTTTAAATAAAATCATTAATTTTTATAAGTATATATGTTGAATCTTATTTTTTAAAGGTCACAAAAAATTCTCTTTCATTCACTAAATTCTGTATAATTTTTATTAACTTCTTTTTATTGATAAAGCTAGAATTTATAATTCTCACTAGCTTTTAAAAATAAAAAAGAGAATTATTGTTGCCCAACATTTCCTAGAAAGATTACTACACGACAGAGAAAAGGATGTGCTCATTTATTTTTTTTTAATTTTTAAAGGTAAGTAAAGTTTGATATTAAATTTCACTGAGCTAGTAAAAATCTCTATTAGTGTTTTGAAATTAACATTTATCAAAAAGGTAACAAATAATATTGCAAATTGTAGCCTAACGTGACAATGGAATATTGCATAGTATGAGTTATTAAATTCAATACTGCAAGATATTGAAAACTCGATATCATTTGCACAACTTGGAGTATTACATCCCAGCATAATTACATTCAAAGATTTGTTCAGAATTTTGGAAACCGTATTTATAATTATAATAAAAAAGAAATACCAGTTAGTTTAAGCTTAAGTAATGTATTATTTCTGCAAAAGATTATAAAAATATCCTGCTTTGTTTTTAATAATAGAATAACGTATATATTGCATATTCCAATAACTCTATACCTGTAGATTTAACCCTGTATAATTTTTATCCTATACCTATCCCGGAAAATAAATATGTTGTACAAAATAAATTGTACTATGCGTATTCGAGTAACTCCTGCACCAAGACATATTAATTCAATAAATGTTTAGGCTTAAAAATTAATCGGGTAAATGTAAAAAAAAAATAATTACCCTGGCTCCTGCTTCAAGTACAAAACCTCCATTTTCCAAGTGTGCTTTGTTAGCGTTTCCTTGAATTCCCACCCATATGGCACCTATTTCTTTATTCACAATTTCAAATTCGGCAGCATCGACTGCTATCAGAACAGCTGAAATTATTATTGTAATATAAAACATTTTGAAACAATACATCGGTTGATACTATTAACATTATTTATATAGAAAACGATATAGTAATAAAAACCCAAAGCATAAAAACAGGTTTTATCGAATTTAAAAAAAACTATTAAAATACTGAATAGTTGGAGAGGCATTAGTTCTAAATTATTTCCAAGAATTTATAGGTATTATTGTTTTTGATATTCTAACTAAAATGTACACTGCAAAAATGTATTATAATATGAATACGAATAGTATGAATTAAAGTGAGTTAAGATTTTCAAATGTAGAAGCTGTTTCTTGAAGGTTTTTCTTTTTATATGGATTTTGGGTTTCTTCGAAATAGGTTCGGAGTATTAAGAACAATTTAAAAAATGTTATAATTAGAGCTTTAAAACCCTAGTCTGATTCTTATATATCTACTGCGTTCCTTCAATCGTGTTTTGAAATTACGAAAAGTCCTACCTACATAGAATGAGTTGAAAATGCTACAAATTAATTTATAAACCCCGGATAAATTTAAGATGTCAATTTTATCATATTCCTAATAAATAACCTATGTATAAAGTTCCTATGAAGACAATTGGGTATTGGAAATAAAATTAAGAACAAATTATTAAAAAATATAAAATACAACCTAAAAAAATTAACAAAATCACTTAGGAATGGGATGAGGGGGTTAAATTAAATAAAATTCCATTAAAAATCTATTTAAAAATTAATTTGACTATGAAGACAATTAGGTATTGAAATTAAATTCGAGAGACGCTAAAATGATGGTTCCAACCTTATCGAGACTGAGGCCCACAAGGGTAAACTCGTAGCGTAACAATAACGAGAAATGATTTAACTTGGAACGAAAGACCGAAAGCGGATAGTAATATTAGGACGTTAAATTTTTTAGTTTGCGAAGCACCAAAATCGTATAATAAAAAACCAGTATTATATCTTACCTCTCTCTTATATAATAAAAAAGTGCTTTGTATAAGAACATTATATTATCTGCCTTGTTGTACCTTTATTTATAGAAAGCCTAAATTGAGATACACTACAAATTATTTACAATAAATATCAAAGGAAGTAAACATTTTTAAATAATTTGACATTTAAGAGCCATTCACACATGACAGTCTCAGCCAAGCATTATTCTGATTTTTGCCAAATAAAATGGCTGGTTAATTATTCTATGGGGTTGCGACAGAGAGCCAGTAAATTTGATGAAGATGTTTTTGTGGCTAGGAGCGAAATAGTAGTACGCTTAAGTACCACTTTCTGATAATTTGTTTTTTTGGTTTAAATATTTATTTTTAATAGAATTTTGTTATAGATCTGTATTTTTTAATAAAAATTTACATCATAAAGATCTGGGCAATAAAAAACTGCAAAAATACTAATCAATTTTCTAGATGTCATTTTTCTCTTGTGACAGCAACTAATGTTGTGATTGGTGACGCCAGACTTGTCAAAATTTCTCCAGACCAATAGGGAGGAGACATTGAGGTCAACATTATTTAAAAAACTAGAAAAACATAAATTTTGTAATAATTATACTAATTTTGTCTTCAAGTGGCTTAAAACCTGAATATTTTTTACTTTTAAATGTAATTTTTTTCATGTGTCAGCAACCAACGTGCTGATTGGTGACGCCAGACTTGTGAAAAATACCCCAGACTAATAGGGAAGAGGTACCGAGGTCATTGAGATTTAAGTCGAAATTTAAGATGGGAAGTATAGCGAGTTGCGACAGATAGCCAGTAAATTTGATGAAGGTGTTTTTGTGGTTAGGGGTCAAATAGTAGTACACTTAAGTTAGCATCACCATAAAAAGTTATTTTTATGAAACTGCTTATATATTTTTCATAAGAGCTGTTGTTTGACAGATCGTTAGAGAATGTTTGCAATTTATGGAATGTTAAGAATGTTGGGAAAAGTGACGTTAGAAATAATTGGAATTCCTAAAATTGTCACATAAGAAATGCATATGCGGATTTTAGGAAAATTGATATTAAAATAGTTAGGATGAACCAAAAATTCTGAAAATCAATAAAACCAGATGAAATTTTTATTTGCATTTTCTGTCACAGAATGATCGGACACATGAAAAAAAGTTTTAAAAAATGGGGGTAAGGAAATTTTTTCGTCTGCACAAATACAATACTGAAGGCCTATAGGAAGGGCCTCGGTAATTAGTGCCAAATTGTTAGAAACTATTAAATACAACTTAAAAAAAATAACAAAATCACTTAGAAATATAACGAGGGGTTCAAATTAAATAAAATTCCATTTAAAATGTATTTAAAAATTTACCTATGAAGACAATTGAGTATTGAAATATTATTATATTTATACGGGCTTAGTGACATGTTATTTTGATAACACCATTTGACAATTTGTGTTAAGTTTGCTGAGAGGTTATAGCAATCACCTCTTTTCTCCACGAGGCAGTATAGTTTTAGATCATCAGCATATAGAAGGAAATTTACATTTATAACATCTGCAATATCATTAATGAACATAATAAAAAGGAGGGGTCCCACAGTGAGCTGGACGTATTGCTTTCGATCCCATATATAGGTAGGATTGAAACAGTGAAATTAAAGAGGGATATAATACAAAAGCTACAGTAAACGCCAAATCTAAAGAACCAGCGCAAATGCTTAGATTCGTTTACTTAAAAATCGCCACGCCCGTTCACAATTTGAACCTTGTCCTTGCTTACGGCCAGTAGCGTAACGACTAGAGAAATTGGTTTTATCAAAAATAGTTTGTTGATATTCAAATCAGGGACCAAGTCTGGAGATTATCATTCCGAAATGAATTTGGAAAATTACGGCAAATGGTTAAGAGAGAAGTTATTACCTAATCTTCCACCTAATTCAGTAATTGTTTGTGATAGTTATCACAATGTAGAGACAAATCGAGCACCTAATTCCAATTCTTTGAAGAATGATATAATCGAATGGTTGACAAAATAAAACATACCTTTTAATCCAACAAGTTTGAAACCAGAGTTCTATGAACTGATTAAATCTCATAAGGACCGACATGTAACATATGCATTTGATGAGTTGTGTCGAGAATACGACCATGCCGCTTTACTGTTACCCCCATATCATCCCGACTTAAACCCTATCGAAGTGTTTTGGGTAACTGTTAAGAATAATGTCAGTCAAAGGAATATTACCTTTAAATTAGAAGACGTAAAACAATTATCAGAAGAGAAATTTAACAAAATCGGTATGGAGGAATGGAAAAAGCGATGCGATCATGTTATAAAGGTAGAAACTAAATGTTTTGAAAGAGAAAGACAAACTGATTTATGTTCGGAAATTAATCCTATCCTCATTAATCCTAATGAGGATTCCAGTGACGACAGTGAGGAGTCTTCTTCCAACGAAGAATCTGATGAAGACATATGAACATTATTTATTTGTGATTTATTGTTTACGTTGTTTGTATTTACTTATATGCTATGTAATATAAAATTAAACATGTTTTTGTTTTTCTTAAATTTATGTAAAATCAGAAGTTATTTGGACTATCCAACTTTGAAATGGAGACCCGGTATAAAAAATCGGAAGGATATATTACTTCATACACATATTATTTCATATATTGCTTATAAAAAAATTAATATCAGTTAAAATACAAAATACTAGACCACCAGAGCTCTCCTTAACCTAAAGTCGGCTTACCTAAAAATAAAGATTTTTTAATTGACTATAGAATTATGTACTAATAATAACACTAAGCAATATGTATAAACAAGCATCACTCACTATTTTCCATTTATTGAATGTCTTAAAATATACGCTCCCCTGGTTTACAACTTTCTAGGTAAGCTACCAATTCTATTCATCGGTAGGCGTGTTCTTAGTATTATAAATGCGCGTCCTTGGTTCTTTAGATTTGGCGTAACCCTTTTTATCATAAGTCAAACAATGTTATTTAAAATGTTTTAACTATTTTAGAACAATTCATAGTAATATCTGTGAGATTCAATTAACTATAGATTTGATATTGCAATGGTTTTCATCTCATCGCCATTTTGTAATTTCCCCCATTCAACTCCATACCAGGAAAATGATACAAATTCCGTTGTAAATTGCCATCAAAAGGTTAGGATAAATATTATAATATTATTTCTACTGAACTTAAAAACTTATAATAATAATAATAATAATAATAATAATAATAATAATAATAATAATAATAATAATAATAATAATAATAATAATAATAATAATAATAATAATAATAATAATAATAATAATAATAATAATAATAATAATAATAATAATAATAATAATAATAATAATAATAATAATAATAATAATAATAATAATAATAATAATAATAATAATAATAATAATAATAATAATAATAATAATAATAATAATAATAATAATAATAATAATAATAATAATAATAATAATAATAATAATAATAATAATAATAATAATAATAATAATAATAATAATAATAATAATAATAATAATAATAATAATAATAATAATAATAATAATAATAATAATAATAATAATAATAATAATAATAATAATAATTAATGTAATTATCTTTTTCAGGTATTTTACCATGAAAAAAAAATGCACTTGCTGGTAAGTTTTGATTTGTTATTATTTTTTTAAATTTTAATTACTGTCATTTTAGAATGATGGAACTATATTATTGATAACATTTTTGGTCAGAATCACAGATTTAATAATACATAATATAAATTTCTTAAATATTTGACAGTTTATTTTCCTTGTTATTCTTTTATTTCAAATATCAAAATAGCAGTGTTCTGTGAACTTAGATTATACAATTTGTCTCATAATTTATTACTTTACATAGTATACCAAAATTTTATACATACACTGGCGAGCAAAACATTGAGTTCACCTTAAAATTTTCATGTTCTTTGAAATTTTACGTTTTCAGATCGTATTCGCAAACTGTACATCATTGCATGTGCTTTTGTAAGCTA